CTAATTGGAATTTTCTCTTACAGCTTAAGCCTAAGTGTGTCGCAGGATACCCTCTAGGTGATAGTTCTTGATTACTTTTTGATAAATAATTCGTTATTATTGCGAAATAGGAGCAATATTTATCAATCTGTAATAAAAGACGTGAGGAAATTCTGTCTTTTTTAAAGACAAAAATTTTTGAGGCGAAATCCCAAAAAGAAGTTTGTAAAAAATACATTTTATGTGAGGCAATAATTACTTCAAATGGAACCTTCAGTTAAAGGATCGATTTTTAGAGTAATTTTTCTTCTCTCTTGTTTTTTTCCTATCTTCGGTTCCGTGAATATCTAGTTCCCATGCCCCCCAAACATTCGACGTTAAATTTTGTTCAATTCGTAGATGATTCTTTCAAGATCAACTTTCTGAGTGGTGTTTTTTTGTAAAATTCTTGTTTGTAACCACTTTTCACTAACTGAGGTTTACAATTTTACAGCGATAAGAAAGCAAGCCACAACATGCTGGTGCTGCATGAGCAAAAATTAACAATTTAAGACTTTTCGCCACAAGTTGCCAAATAGAAGCAAACAGACAATTAACCAATACAAACCAAAACGAACATTTTAGTAGCGAAGTATCAGAAGAGACGGTAAAAAAGAACCAAAACTAACGCGAAAAAAGAAAGCAATGTTGAAAAGGAAAATTCAAAAAAAATTCTGTTTTATGAAGGCAAATGACTGATAAGGAACATCACATGCTTGGGAAGCTGTTCTCTTTCACTCACACTTAAAGTGAGGAGACCTCGAACTACAATGTATAGATTCATAGGAGCATTTCTAAATAGAACAGTGGGGTTAATATTAATACAAGCACAGAGAACTGGCCCTCATAGAATGAATCTCAGCATATTTCAGTCGAGAGTCCATTTTGAAAATTAACTAGCAATATATCCTACATTATGGACAAAATAAATAAATTTTTCCGTTTCAAACGCCCTAATAAATAAACAACATTAAAAAAACAGAGTTAAACAGCTCAAACCGCATACAATTAATTATAAACTTCTACGTATTGAAATCGACGCACCCATTGCAGGCGCGTATTTTAAAGAAAAACTGCTTCTTTAACAATCATCGAGAATAAAAAATGAATATTATTAATGCAGCAATTGTTTTAATAACCGCATCGTCCTTGACGTGATAAAAACAATCGGTTTAATTATGTAACAACTTAATACGGATGCATTGTTTCAATTCGTATCGTTATTCAAATATCGTTTTCATGAGTACGGTACCGTCGCATTCTTCAAAAGATGGAAAAAGGTCATTAACAAACAATGAATCGTTGTTTATTTGGTCGGAAACAATAAGGGGAAAGTTGTTTTCATTTGGAAGTATTCATAACTCAGTGTTCAATGCCATCGTCTACTTCTTGGGCCCATTGTGGTCGGTTAATTTAGCAAACTGTCAATGTTCAATAATTAATTAATTATTCATGAGCTGAAGTTGAAGATTTTTCACTCGTTTTTTACGGGCCATTGTCGGTTAATATTACCATTTTTTATCATATGTGAGCAATTCTTTTGGGCCAACCACTTGGGAATTTTTGGTTCAAAAAGCGTTAAAAAGCTAAATATTTAAATTCTTCAGCTTCTTAGGATTTTTTTTATTGTTATTCTAAAAATTGCTATCGGATAGCACTTAAAATTGCGAAAAAACTGAGAAACCCCTTCAAACTTTCAAATATTTGGCAGGACTTTAAAAGCCAAACACGTAACTTTTGCCAATGATGAGTTTACAAGATTACTAGTTCGATTATTTATCATTTTTCCTACTCAAGTAGGCTTCTGCTTTTAATGATCAAATATAGTTACAAATGGTTTGACTCAAAAAGGATTGAAATGTTGATTATGTGGAAGCAAAGAGTGTTTTTCGTGCTAAGCTTAGTTTTCTGACAACTTCAGTTAGCAAGCAATGTAAAGTCCTATGCAAACAATAAATAGGGACTTCTGTTGGGTGTTGCATCAAAAAATGTTGTCCTTTAAACCAAAGCAGAATTCCTTGTTTTTTTTTTATATCGAATTGATCAACAGTGCAGATACTGATCTTATTGCACATTAAAGAACGAATTCTGTATGAAAAGATAATCAAAAACCATAACTGAAAAGAAAAACAATTCATAAATGAGGGTTTGATTATAATTATGCAAATTACTTTATTGACAATTGTTTTCATAAAATTTAAAATAAGTTTTAGTTGAGCTAAAACAAGATAAAATTAAACCTGTTACAAGCCTTTATATTCAAATTAATCCCGGGCTGTCAGATAAAATTAAATGAATAAGTAACACATTGATATTAGAACTAAATTTATTCAAAATTGAAAACCCAATTAGAAGGAAAATTTCGACAACCATTTAATAAACGAATTAAAGAACCCCAATAATACAAAAATAGTATTTTATAAATAACATAGGGATGTTTCAACGGTGAAAGTGAAGAAACTTCTGCAAAATTCTTCTATAAAAACACTTCTGTAAAATTGAAATGCATGCATTGAAAATTGAAGTGCATGAGTTTTATATATATATATATATATAAATAATCTTTATTTCCTACAGAAAAATGCTATCGACCTAATCGGTCTTTCTGTCCTTGTTTAGTACATATGTGTGTTAGCCTAGCTTATTAGTTTTATTAATGCAAAATAATGGTGTTGCCTCATGTTCATTTAGTTAATGCCATACAGGCTTGCGCATGCTAAATTCTGTAGGCCAAAGAAAAATCACCAAACTTTTTAACTGATTTTATTTGTAAATGATAAACATGCAGTCTCTTCAGCCATAAAGAACTAATATTTAATTCGACAATTTTGTTGCTATTAAAACATGATAAAAAAATGTACATAATGAATCAATTGCTTATTACCCATGTAGGTATATAACTTTAGATAATCACCGAAAAACCAAATAAACACTCAGTATAAGATGAATCGGACTAAATGCACAGTGGGCTTGAACCGAATCAATCAAAGAATTAAATCAGATTGAAGCTGCTTTTACATTGTCGGCTTATGAACTTCCTAATCATGAATTTTCGATGTCGATCACGAGCTACCACGGTGGTCTAATATTATCAGATCACATCACAGTAGAGTGAAACATGAAACGAAATTCTGACATAAGTAGATATAGATTTATTCATTTGAAACGGCTTGAACTTGTTTAAAACAAGTTTTTTATGAGTTTACTGTTAAAATTTATGTTTAGAATCATCCTAAGTCGCCACCAGGAAACTCGAACTCTTCAATACACTCCAAAGCGATCTAACGGTCGGCGGTATGTACCAAGTTATTTCGTTCCTGATACCATCTTTTGCTACTGAATTTTCTGATTCATCTCATGGCCAATTTAACTTATAGACAAAGCAATAAGCGACGACGGCTTCTGGTATGTTTAGTGAGTACCAAGCATGCGATTCATATTTTTAACAGTGACCAAAACATGCAGTAGCTCGCAACTCTTGCAGCTTATTTATATGGCTTTACGGCAGATAGAATCGCTATGCGACTTCCAAGAAGGAGTCCAAGTGATTTACCGTCATTTCCAATGCAAAACGGAATGCTTTAATTCAAAATTTGATAAAATCGTTTGGGGATTTCCAATTCTCGCGTTTATCAAGTATGGATTCTAATATTCAGTGCATTCTTAATGGGTTTGTGTATAACAGTCCAATAAAGAGTTTTCAGAGGTCTATGAAAAACAAACAGAAAAATATAGATTTTTCGTTAATTCGGTGAAGATGGTTTAATGTAAAAACCTGAAAATGGCTGCAGGTCAATTTCTTCAAAGAATTTTACAGATATCGTATATTGAAACGAGATTATAAAGGAATAAGGATACATATATCCAAATCAGAAAACGTCTTTTTTACATTAGTATTTTCGCACTCTCGTTACAACACATTTGTTTGGCTTTGCTAAGACACTTTCAAAATGAACAGCATTGGTACTTCTTTTCAGAACCTTAAGACTTCGGGAGGTTTTCGCCAGCTAACTCGCCTGATCTAGCTAAGATGCAATATTATTTTTTCTTCTTAGACTAGAAGCAAGATCTTTTTTTTTCTAGAAGCAATCGAATTTCTCTTACGTATTGAGAGTACATCACCTTCAGACAGAATTTGCACCCTGAAAGATTTTTCAAAATTGTTTTATCGTAAGTAATAAGTTCCGACGACGTATTTGCGTTTATTTTGTTTTCAGATCGAAATAAGCATCCTAATAATGAATTAACTGCTTTTAGCAACATTTTTACAATTGAGCTCTAAAAACATGATAATCCAAAAAGTTTTCACCGAGGTGGGAAGTGTTTCATTACTGTTTATAGATCAGTTAGTTTACGATTTAGTCCGATGTTTAGTTCGCGAAAAAAATGAAGCGGTGAAGAATCTCAGCTCCAAAAAATGATGCTGCAAATTGAAGAAAAAATTGATGTCCAAACAAAACATTGCTAACGTTCCTGAGGCGACAAAATGTGGGCTTTAGGTTCAAAAAACGTAACGTATTTTCCAGGCGAGTATATAAGGGACTGGGCGTATCTGGAGCTTGCCATACGGACGAATTACTGAAAATAAAGATATGTCGGATGTATCCTTTTTGGGAAAAAAATTTCAGTTTTTATTCCAGATTCGAAACCATATACAAGTAGATCATTTCTCATTACTGATCCAGTTTGAGTGAAGATCATTCGGGACTACAGGCGCAATACAATATCTAAATTTTCCCCAAAAATTGCAAGTTTTTTGAATTAAGAAAACTATAGAGGTTTTAAAAGCCACACTCTCAAAAGAACCGCCACTATGTTACTCGCCAACAGTGGTGCAAATGTACTGAGAGGATGGAAAAGTCGTACTGTGGCCGAAGGTTCTGTGAATGGCTCAATGTAGAATAATCAATGTAGCTGTTAACCAACGACAAACATTCAATAGCAACTTAATTTGTCAGACACGATAAAAATACTAAGTTATACAAGTGAAAGAATATAGAACCACAAATATAACGTCATTATTATTAGGAATGCAGCGCTTTTAGAAGGAACGAAGGAAAGAAGCTGAGTCATTAGGAAAAAATAAACCAATATTAATTAAGTCTTATATTATTTATAAAGTACAGGTATTAAAAATGATCCAGAAATTATACAACTTATATAAAATAATAATATGGCAATATGTAAAATTAACTCTTAAACTTATGTAACGAGATTCTTATTGCACCTACCTCTAGTTACTTATTAACAGGATAACAGATACATACGAAACATGAAGTAAGAAATGCAAACCTAATCTTATTTAGTTACAAAATACTAAAAATATTTTATTCTACAGAACGGAGTTGTTTTCTTTATATCGTAACATTTTTCATTAGGAAGCATTCTTTTGCTTCGCAAAGAAGTGGAAAATATGAGGAACCGCAACAGACCAAGTAAATATCAGAAAACAACTAAAAAAAACGTTTCTATCTACATATGAGAAATAATAATAATTTCTCACAAGGGCTACCCACGGAATCTACTTCAGGCATAGATTATTACGTTTCTATGACTTTTTAGGTATTAATTTATATAATATACGATTCGCCGTGCTAGGGACAAATATTTTAGGAACTCTTTGCAGCATTCGGCCTCTTCTTGAGGCCGAGGCTGTTATTTTAATTCAGAAGGCACCCGATTCCCCAACAATACTCTACAAACGGAAGGAATATTTAGTAATATGTACAAAGGTTTCCAAGTTATTTACAATGCGTATTAATTAAGTACGAGACGCTTATTGTTGGAGAGCCGTATATTTTAGGAACGTAATTATTCCGTTTATTTGCATTTCTTATTAATCCCTTTATACTGCTAAAACGACATTTCTACATTGGATGTAAAATATTATTATTGATGTAGATAATTAATTATAATTAATAATAAACTTTCATATGGCACTAAACAAAATTATAGTTCCTGAGTAAAGAATCACTGTTTACTTTTTAAGTGTATGTTATCACTACTTGGTTGGCCTGAAAATCATATTCGCAATTTTTTCAGCAAAAAAATATAAATTCAAAAAACAACTAACTGATTCGCGTCAAGTCTCTAACGATAACAGGAAAAAAATCATCAGGCTAACATAAAGTAGAAATAAGTTTGAAACAATTATTGGATTAAAACGTTAAAAAACAATGTAAAAATATCACATGGCATATGGGATGTCCGATATAAAATAAAACAAAATTTAATGTTTTCCGTTAGGAATTAATGAAATTGAGGAGTAATCTTTATCGAACTAAATGAGACCTTAGAATGTGAGGAACATTGGTATCGGTCATTTGTATTTGCCATGCGGAAGAACCAACAGATAATTTTACTTATTACCTATTGCCAATGAACGAATTTTGTAGTTGAATGAATAATAAAGTATTAAAAAACTTGCTGATAAACATTAGGAGTATTTTCTAAGGGTACAAAGGTTCTTAATTTCTCCAACATTTCACTCTGTAATTCGTCTGCAACAAGCATGGACGAAATAAAGAGCAAATTCAGCAAAAGCGTTTTCAAGTGAGAAGACACAGGCAAGCAAAAAATTATGAAGTGTCTTTTTACGGGCAAACTAAAAATTTAAACTATCTTACATGCTTTAAATATTCTCAATTAAACGGCCGCTAGTTTAGTTAATTGTAGTTATCTTCGCATTAAGCTGTGGAAAATATGGCTTTTTCATGTTTTATTTTATGTCGGGCTCCCTGATGCTAATATTGGCTGAGGTAGGTAGACACAGTACTTGAAAGTACCATTTTATGAAATAATAAAATCACCCAATCCGGAAAACACGAAAACAGTTAAACCATCTAATATACCCGAAGAGTTTCCACCAAAACGTCCGAATTTATCTGGATTTATATCTCATCTTAAAAAGAAACCAGCTTGAACCTAGATAAGTTTCGGTTCTGAGATTAGGGGAAAATATAAATCCTTAACAGCTAAACTTTAAAACAAACATTACATGTTGGTTAACCGCGCTTGAAACTCAGCAAGTAATATACACGCTAAATTAAAACCTATCTAAAAAACTTATCTAAAACACAAAACTGACCTGAGACTGAAGTTAAAAATCCGTTTTCGCTCACTGGTTACAATACTAGCTAAAGTGCTGGTTACCTAAGAGCATTATTATAGGTATTGGCATGTAACAATATATAGGTTTATCTAAAACTAGTCTTATGCATTAATTAACAAACCATCTATATAGCTATAAGTCGCTATGTATCTGGTGTATTACTGCAAATGTGTTGTGAGTTTAAAATTATACTTGAGAAACATCAAAGCAGACGAAACGTATTCTTGTTCGCGCATCAAAAATATACATATATAAAAATAAGTACAGTTTAAAACATAGGTCGCTTAAAACTAAAACTACGATACTAAGCTGCCTATTGGCTGTTAAATTATCAAAACGTACAATGGCCAGAAAAAAAATGCCTGCATTTTTTGTTTAATTCCCGATGCCATTGCACATCGTTTTGTTATTCGAGTCTAGCCGTTTTTTATTGAAACAACTAAAAAAACCGCTAGACTCGTATTCCGACATATGCAGAATGTCGATTATTTATACATGCTGAATTTTTCAACTCACCCAAACTAAATCTAACATATTGAATAATCATTGAATCATAAATCAGAAAATATTATTTTAGACATTTAAATTGACGAAGAGCAGGTTTTTAAATTGTTATGAAATTGTCGCAACTAATTCAACGTAACTTGAAGGAACAAGTTAAGGTTCAGATCAACTAGCAAGAGCTTAAAATAGCGTTTACATCTGCTAAAAAGGGCTCAAATTATACGCGAACATCCCGTACATAGATAATTGTAATATCGGCAACTCTATCTTAGCACCTATTCTAGTGACTGAAAAGTTAACTGTAAAAATACCTGAAAATTATCACGATAATGTGCAGTTAGAAAATTAAAACTGTCTATAAATAAGCGCCACCAAGAGGTGAAATCAAAATGAAATCCTGAGAAATGTGTCCAAAGACAAAATGATACGGGTATTTGTACTTTGGTTATTGAATGATATTATCTGAATACCTGAGTGACGAGTAATCCTAACTAGAGTAAATACTTGATTGTAACATCTACGAATTGCTTTTAACGGAAGCATTATTTAGACATGGAAGCTATCTGTAAAATTACGACTTTTTATATTTATAAACACGTTCAGTTTCTTTAAAGTTAAATATAAAAATATCATTATCCTGAAGGCAAAAAGGATTATTTGTACCGTTTTACCTGTCATCAAGATGGCATTATTTTGTATACTTTCTTTTAAGAAAAATGCTTTAAGGTCATTTTTCCGAAGCCCAAATTGCCTTTGGCGCATTATAAATTTGAAAATAAGTCAGTACAGGATTGTTTTATATCTTATTGCCATTAAATGAAATTTTAAGAGATCGGGTAGCTTGAAAACGACTTGAATTCGTTTGGTTGATTCACATGCTGCTCTTGAGAGCTACGCTCACGCTTGGTAAATCTGCCTCACTTTCACAAGTAAAACTGTCGACAAAAATTATTAAACACACTCTAGGTTAGCCAAGCAAAAGAGTTTTGACTTCTAATAAAAACTCGGAATTTTCGAAATTGTTCAGGCGTTTAAATATTAAAAGCGGAATGGACACGCTATGCTCACGATTGGTAAATTTGGCTCACTTTAAGGGCACCCATAGACGGGCGATATGCACTAATGTGGAATAGGTTTAATATTAAACTTGATTCTAAAATAATTCGTGTTTTTATGTAAAGCAACATACATTTATTTTATTATATTATAAAATCAATCAACAAAAAACAATCAATAAATTAACATAAAAATTAACTTATAGAGATAAAGATAAGATCACTAATAATCACAGATGGATGGGTCTTTTTCGGTACGTGCGCGAGTATCATTTTACCTAGCAAGTTGAAAAGCAATAGAGCATAGGTCCCGCCTTGATAAACCAAAAAAACTTTTTCGCGCTCGTGTACAGTACTGTATTTAAAATCATGAGTTTCCAGTCACCCCGTAGATTTCATCCAGCAAATTTTGTAAATTCTCCCATTTTTCATATTAAACTTATAGTTTCTTGTTTAAATTATAGTTTTTTTTTTTTAAGCTTAAATTATTTACTGGACGCCCAACATTATTTGGGCATATTTCTGACTGAAAAAATCGAGTCCTCCTTCCAAAGTTTTTTTTAAAGCAAAGCTCAAATGTTTAGTTTTTATTGTAGGAAAACCGTCTTATGCCGCTCCATTTTATAGTTTTATGGTGGGTTTATACACGATAATAAGGCTTAAGGCATAAGAATAACGCCTAATGGGGTGTTTATAAAGCAGAATAAGGAACAATATTAGTTAAAGTACAGCCAATCAAATGGGGGAGCATATGCTTAAGAAACAATAGGGTTGTGTCTGTTTATGTCAACATTATCGCATTAACATACCAATAAAAGCTTAATTTCACATAAATGTTGTACATTAAAAATGGATTTGTCCACTGAAGAGGTGGTAGTTCTTTTTGGATTAATAATTTCGTTTTCTAACCTCGTGTAAATACGATGTAATATGACGATCACGTGGGATATTGGAATTTCATTTATCTTACAAACTGCACATGCTCCATTAGAATAACGCCTAACGCATAAGTAAAAGTTTTACGATGATTACGAGTGTTTCTATTGGTTGGCGATCTGTCAGTTCGTACGGCGGTGGACGTAATGAACAATTTCGTATCATCGTATAAACGGATGCATGGGACACAGGCTTTATTCCTTAAGCGTTAGGCACTATTCGGTTTATAAAAACTATGGACTGATGCGCAACGAACTTTTACGCCTTAATCGTTAAGCGTTATACCTTATTCTCGTGTATAAACCCACCATTACTTTGTGTCCTATTTTGGACCCGGATTTGCTTAAATAGTTTGAAATGCATACAAAATTTAGCCCTAGCCGACTTTCTTTTAGGTTTTTTATGACTGAAGTAGAAAAACTTGTTTGTAGGTCATAAGCGTCACAACTTGCACTGATGCTAATGTTCACTAATCAGACGATATTATTTTTGTATATATAAAAATCAACGAAATAGTCCTGGCAAGGTAAATTGTGTAAATAACTGAAAATAATTAATTGCGTGAAAAGAAGTTCGTTTACTTATAACTCAAAAAAAATAGTCTTGTAAGATCAAGTGTGTTTAAAAGATTACAACACACTTTTACTTACAAGAACCGTGAACATGAGTGATGAACAGTAGAAACATTGACTAGAAAAAACATTGTGAAAATGTAATATTTTGTTAAAGGCTACTCACTTTGTACGTCAGTGCATAAAATATCGCGAATATGCAAAGCATTTTTAAGTGTGATTTTTGACAAACTTAAACAACAACAAATCAGAAGAAAGAATTCCAGACGTCTAAGAATTCAAGAGGCCCAAGCAACCCAATCCCTTCATCAAGGAGAACTAGCCTAGTAAGTCATATTATGTCCTATTAGGAGGCACCTAAAAACATCGAGTATTAGTAAAACTATTTATATAATGCACTGTAGAGGTATAAACATGTTTCCTTCTAAATTACCGTATACATTTTAACCCTTATTATCTTGCACTGCTCACTATTCTACTGTTTGAGGTAGACGGATGGAATTATACTTTACGCTTTGAAGTTGTGGATTTTGGCAAAGTTAGATTTTTGCAGAGTCTGGCTGAGTACCATTCTCTTGCTTATTACCACACGGGGTAACGCATATAACGTTATTTGGTTGGCAACTAAAAATATTTACAGGCTTCACCCAAAAACATAAATTTAAGTTAGCTACAAGTGAAATTTGTCTACACAATTTTTAACAGATTAATTTAGCAATGGATGAACAATGATTGGTCTCACGGGTTTATTATTTGGGTGCAAATCGACTTGAAATTAAAAAAAATTAACAAAATTATCACAATGGATTTAATAAGCCATTGAGATGAAACAAGTTACATCCTCGCATCGTTTCTAGTGGAAAAATTAATATTTGTTGATGTTTTTGGGTGTGGAATGTCGCCTTGAAGCCCCGCAGCTTAAATTTGGGACGCCTCTATACGCTCATTGGAAGCAGATTGTTGTAGAATAATGCACTCTTATGCAACAAGCACAAAAACCAAAATGAACCACATAACGGCGAATTTGCGTTTGACAATGATCATAAAACAATGGCCTTATACTCTGCGTTTTGAATGCGGCTTTGGACGGGATCTATTTAGATCATCTGAATTAAGCAGACGACGCGCAGTGTTCTTCCTTGCCTTTAGGCAGCAGTGTTTTATCCAGCACGTACCTAATGGGGCGTTTGTACTTTCCCATTGAGGTAGTAAGGATAGAATTAAAACACACACAGCACATGCTTATGGCGACTTCAAACTTAATCGACATGGTTATTGGGTTCTGGTTTGGTTTCCGTTTCGGGTTCGATCTCTTCATCACTGTAATCCTCATCCTCTGCTCCCGATGAATCGGCTTCTTCCTTTTCAAGTTCGACTGGGTTGTTCAGGGACGTGTGAGTGCCATTTCGAATGATCTGTTCAATTGATTCTCCGACATTCTTCGCTGCTAACATTTGCCGGTGGAGTTTCTCGATAAACTTTTGCTGCGTCGCCTTACCAACGGCAAGTTGTGCCATCTTAGCGGCTTGACTAACGGCAGATCCTGGATCAGGAAGCGCCATGCCACGATATAAATTCTGATCAGCCAACAGCTGCAAGTATGTGTCTATAATACCTGTTCCTGACATATTCGCACTCGATACGGGAGGAGGTAAGGGAGCAGGATAATGTTCTGCTGACAGATTCTGAAGAGAATCCACGATTTTCGCGGAAATTGCCGGAGCAGACGCATTATACCTACTCGATGTGAAATTATTGATTTGACTAGCTGGCGAATGGTAATCAAATCCACCATACCTCGGGTGCGTCACAGTCAGATCTTCAGGATCATTGTCTCCACATATGGAACTGCCGCCTTCAGAAGCTGCACCGGTGTAGGCACTTTTAGCATCTAGCTTGACATCAGAGCGCCTCGGACCGGTTGGAGAAGATCTCGCTAGTAGCTCCGCAGGACTTATCTTAATTCCAGCCTTTGCAAACAATCTATAATGGAGGATTCTGCATCAAATTATTACTGAAAATTTTTTGTGGCTACTCGTAAATACGAGAACTTTAAGCATTTTTCTGAACACCCGGCGGAAGACAACCAGAATTTCAATGACGCAATATTTACTAGATTTATTGTGTTGATCGGAAAGTTATTTTGCGTTTGTATATGAAGACGCTTTTAATGGAAAATTTCATTGTATGCAACTACATATTGTCGCTGCGAGTCTCCAGCAACCGAAATTCTGGTCGCAGGATTATTTCAAACTGTGTTTTGCTTCCACCTTTTAAAAAAATGTTGTAGTCATAGTCCGAAGATGTCAAATCTGGAAAATATGGTGGTTGTGACGTTAGGTTCCACCAAAGGGGTAGAACGTTTCGACGAGATATGAAACTTCCACAGGTTAGTCCTCAAGGTAAAGGCACAAAATTCATTGATCTTGAAACGTTGCACTTTTTCTATTGGTCAATTTTAGTCAATCTGTTTTTGAGCTAATTATTCAATTTTCTCAGCAAAATACGAAAACGACTGAAAGTAATCCGAACAGATAGCATCACATTTTTCGACCATGGCCATTAACAAAAAAACGGGTTTCTAAGTGAGTTTGTGTGCACCATTGTTCTAGAAAAAAAAAACTTGGGACAAATTTAACATGGCGTTCAACGTCGTCAACAACATAGTAAGGTAATAAAAGAAGTCTATGAACATCTACTTTATATCCATTGTAAAATTTCATTCGCCACAATAGAACCGAAGTCCAAAGCTCGAAGACAGTTTCGCTTGTGTTTTTTGGCTGGCTCAAGCCTTTTATTTAACTAATGATAGAAAGTGTCGAATGAAATAATTTGGTATATTCGATTATGGAAAAAATCCAATTGACTACTCGTTGAATTCGCATTCAATATTTGTACAAGATTTTCTTTCAACTACCTTTCCTAAATGGTCAAAATGTTCACAGTTTCTCCAAAACGTTTTCAAATTTGGCCAATATGTGAACATTAAGCTCAGTGGACGGAGTCGCAACAAGTTCGACTTGGAAGCTTTTAAATTCACCCGTTAACTAATCAAGAAGTTACATACATAAAAACAATTTGACCACGTTCATCTCCACAAAAACGTCCTAAATTCTTGCAACCCTTTGTTCGATTCTAATAAAATGCTTTATTATGTTTATTACCTGCTGGCGAGTTCTGGATCAAATGCGGATGGCATGGGCAAAACCGGAAGGTCTTTCGTACTAATACCTCGATGTTGTCGGGACATGTGTGAATGTAACGAGTTTCTTGACTTTGCAATCGTTCCACACAAGACGCATCTGTAGCCGGGACATACTGTGTGTTTGTCCTCCAGATGGGTCCTTAACGTATGAGCTGACCTATAGATTTTTCCACACTTCGGGCAAGGCCGCGGATCTGTTGCTCTTACCCGGGATAGATCCATAGATCGTCTGCTGGCTAAAACACAAAATAAAGGTATACAATGTGCAAGTTGCACTAAGCGCAAAAATGAGATTAAAAAATCGTAAAACGGGCTTCTCTTTGAAACAGCATTTATTGATCGAAAAATGGATATTTTACATTGCTTTTATTATTGGTTACATGGCCACTAAACAGTAACAACTGAATTTGGTACAAAACCCTCACTGCCGAAAGTACCAATAACGCGTTATGAAGAGGATTAAAGAAAACCGTCGATTTTTCGATAGAGCACGTACAAAAACAAAATTGTAATTTGGATTTTATTGTGATCGAGCGATCGTAGTAGCATACGTTTGTAAATTTTAACCATTTTGACTAATTTCTCCGAATTTAAGTAGACGATGTGAAGTAGTGCGCTTTATTTTAAGAGCAAATACTGAATTTTACAAAAATATACTAACGCATTTTTGTTGCCATCTTTCCCACGTAATTGAACCCCAATTGCCTGGTAGATATATTGATATTTTGTGTTTGTCTGTTCATTAAACCATTTATAGACTCAATTTCAGTAAGAAATGCGCTGCCGTTACTTACGCAATATTTATATCGAACAGACATTTTCATCGACATTTAACATTTACTGTTCGGTAGCTTTAGAGGTACTTTATGGTACATCTTATACAACAAGCCTGTTACAAAAACAAGGTAAAAATACGCCAAAAATTAAAAGCAAAACCACGCAAAATATGTAAAAAGACTTCTTGGAGATGATATTTTAATATATTATCGTCAAAATGCAAAAAATGCAGTTGCAGAGTGCAAGTTTTATTATGAAATGACAAAATGGGCGAAAACTTGGCGAATGTTACCGCATTTTTTTTTAATATTTAGTGCGCAAGTTTAGTAGTTTAAAATTTCACTTTTGCTACGAAAATGGGACAAATAATTCACTTGAACTATTTAGCATTCAAAAACACAACCAAATGAGCTTCGGTTTTAAAAATGGCAACGCAAAGAGCCATTTTTTTACCCTTAAAAGAACCTTTAATTTTATATTCTCTTATATATCTGATGTTACTGCTTTGGTGATATTTTACCGAAAAATTATGTAAATTATTCAATATTTGCCAGTATTATTTCGCCCGCCATTTCCTTGCAATATGAGCACTAATTTACGTCTATTTTTCACGTGTTCGACTTTAATCAAGGCAAATTCGATAATACGATCGACAGAAAAAAGTGTACTAAAGCGATTATTCAGAGCTCATTCTGTGTAAGCACCATTAATACTGAAATGGGCATTTGTACATTATTTGTGTTCTGGGGTGCAGAGAAAACTTTGGCTCATCAATGTAAAATCTGTCATTTCCAAAAGCCTTAAAGCTATTTATGTACAACTTAATACACTTTGTTTCTACAGTTACAGTTCTCAAAATGGAACAGATGGAATGGAACAAATAGCTAAAAGTAGCATGGGAACCTTGCTTAATTAATGGAACATTAGACGATGATTAAATTAATGAATAAGTTGCCAGATTGCACAATGACTAAATAACCAGCGGGTATTGAAGTAAATGTGTTTGTTTTTAAATAATGAGGAAAATATACAAAATAAATAAAAAATATTTGCGACATTCAGGCGATGCGTTCAGCTTTTGTTATATCTACAACTTAGGCTGTAGGTAATCTACGGCTCATACATTGCTTAAAAAAGTACACTTTCACTGCTTGCAAATTTTTCTTAGATCGTTCATTCACTGCACAGCCAACATTATATTCACTTGCCCACAGCATCTTCAAAATGCAGGGAAGTAGAGAGGAACTTCATTTCAACACATTTCCGTTTGTGTTTTTATCACTTATTTTGTGTATTTTTACATGTTTATCAAGTAAAGTTTTTTGGAATTCAACGATTGAGGAAACTTGCAGATATAAAGCTCCTACTAGTGTGGACTCCGAGCCGGGCCCAAGCTAGTAGAAAACATTAAATGAAATTGCTTTATTTGCTTCATGGTATTCCACTGATCGGTATGCTTTTGCCTCAGGTGATTCCTCACTGAATTCGGATGGGCGAACTGTCTTCCGCACTCAGCCACTGGACAGTACAGACTTTCTCTTGGATAGTGTTCTTCCAAATGCACTCGGGCTGACACAATATCTTTGAGCACGCTTTCGCACAATGGACATTCATATTTCATGTTATAAGGCGGTGCTGATCCGGCATTGAAGGAAGAGTGTGCTTGCCGATGACGTGGAGGCGCTGTTCGCTTGAAGTCGCCTCTGTTGGCATCTGAAATGCCAAAGGTTTCGCTGCACTTTTAGTTCATTTCATTTCATTTAAACATTTAAAATTTACACAGAATGGCCCGGAATTAAACGATCTGATCGTCAACCCACGTTAACCGGGGGAATCTTTTATAAGCGATTGGCGTCTCAAACTCACAGCTAAAGAGGTGTTTTCAAGAAATTTTGCAATGGTCGATAGTATTTTATGTGATCCAAATGCTATTTGTAAATGTAGAATTGAAGATGGTAGCTAGAATTTTATGGCGGCAGACAAACTCATTCTCCAGTTTGACTAATTCCCAAATATTTTTTACGCTTCCTGAAAATGAATTAAGAAGATCCAGTTTACTGGACAGACTTGCCGATTCAAACAGTTTCAAGCAAATTGATCTTTATTGAGAAGCAGGTGCAGTTACAACTTGATCTACATACTTATTGATGAATGAGAACTGCCAAAACACTATTGAAGAATTGCTCAAACACGCTCTAGAATTGACCGATTTTTTGCTCTTTTGTTTATGGCATTCAACATTAACGAAGCTGACTTGAAGAAAATATTTCCCGTCAAAACTAAACCCATTACTAAAGTGAGAATAATTCCACAGCAACCTAGTTTTGCTGATGAGCGATGTACTTGCTATTAGAACAATCCGAGCCGAACCCCCTTTACATCGGGATCGGAAATAGAAAAAGGGGGAGAGATAATAGCGGTGCCGGAATATCGGAAGACGAAACAGACAATGCGAGCTGTTTATTATAGCGAAAGCTATGTGAGCAATTTGAGACTAGAACAAAAGAATCAAGGCACTAAAGCGAGAAGCAGAAAAGAAAATCGAATGCGGCAGAAACAACTGCTGCGTTTTTCTTAGGCTTTCGATACTGTCCAACAATCTGAAATATTTGTCTTCAAACGGTTTTTGTAGCCCTTTACAAACTTTCTGAAATAGTTTTCAGTTCCAGTTGAAACAATGTCAACTTCTTTTCTATCACAACTGTTCGGGAATTTAAGACACGCAGCGACTGCTAAAAATGCTTCCCTTTGAGGAAGTTTTTAATGTAGTAAGTTACTGATTATATATTCGAATACAATAAAGACGCGATATGGTGGAACCAACGCCTTTTCAGTAGGTATATTCCTTGCTTCAAGTGCAAAAATTCAATCGAAAAATGATAAAATAAATATAAAAACACAATAAATGCGCAATACGTATAAAACGATATTTAACGGCTTCAAGAATTTGTTCTCGATTGTTAATTTTTCTAATTTCATTAGATGAAAGAAATGAAACAATGTGCAAAATAGAAAAAAGATGAAGTTGTTGAAAACAATATGCAAAAATCCCTACCCTACCTACAAGGAATTGAAAGAAATAGAAATCGAAGATTTGGTCTTTCGAGGACCACGTTAATTCTAAAGCATTTTAAGCACGTGTTTCAAACTTCTTAGACACATTCAAACGACGAAACATTCAATTGCGGAAATCAGACAAATTTTATGAACTAATAAGGCAAAAAAAAATCTGAATGGATCTTTTACGAATGCAAATCAATATTCTAAACATAAACTAACCAATTGGGCAAAAAATGTAGATAAAAAATTGCACTTTTTCTATTGCATATCTTCGTTTAAACAGGATCAAAAACAGAAACCGAAAGTTTTAATCTTGCGATGATTATTTCAATTTTGGCTGTTTACAGCAGAAGCAGCATACACGTGCTTCAAACATGTTGAAGACACATTTGAACAAGGAAATATTCAGTGGCAAAAATCTGAAATATATAAATATCTAATCTAATGAGGCAAAAACTTTCGAATACGAATCAAATCATTTAAAACAAATTTTAAAAACTTTTGACTTTATTTGAGCGTATCTTCGTTTAAAAGTGGTGGTGAACAGAAATCGAACGCTTGATTTTTTTCATCTTATGCGTGCGTTTCAAACATGTTAAAGACACCTTCACAAACATCCAAGAAAATCTGAAAATTTTCTGATGTAATGAGGCAAAAGCTAATGGCTATTACGAATGCAATAAAATTATTTTAAAAATAATCCTAAATTCGACAAAAAAATGCAGTGAAAAATAAAATTTTACGTCTTAATCCTTGTAGCTCCAGGAGAAAGAAACGTTGATAAAAAAACTTCCACTAGACCCGTGTTATAAATTTCAATATTTCCCCAAGCTATCAGAAAAAGCTGTTAAATCTTTATGAAATCTTTCCACAGATTCGTGACTGTACTAATGGCCGAAGTCCATCACAGTTTTTCGAGAATTGCGTTGCCGAAACCGTATCAGCCGGTAATAGAGGGTGGTGTTATCGGCATTCGTGTTTGGACGCTATAAACGCACATTTATTACTCTATGTTCGATAAAGGTCCCATTGCCTCGGTATATTTTAAGAAATTACCCGTAAGCCTCCTCGGCTCTCCTTTATGGCCGCCCCTTCTTACGTCCTTCTCCATTTGGGTTCGTTCAGTGCAAAGGAAAGAAGACAAAACATCTTTTTTTATTTTGTTAATGTCCCGAACGGTTGCATGTCCGCCAAAATTTAATGCAAAGCGGTCATGTCACGTAAAAATGTTCCCTTTTCCAGATGCCATTATTTCCGTTTAATAGTTCACCTTATGAAAAAGTCAATAAGCTTTATGGCACGATTCCATGAACGCAATATTCTAAAATGCTTTCAGGGGCATATAGATTTCACTTATCTGAAATGTGCCAACTTTGGCTCTAATGCAGCCTGAAAATGGCATCGTCCACTTAAATATATAAAATGGTTAAAATCGCTTTAAACGATGAAAAATCCAAATCACTTCTAAGTAGAATTTAGTGAAAATTGAGCAAATTTGTTAAAGCCGTTTATTTACTTCCACTCTGAAATTTTACTTTCGTCAAATTTGTGTTTTTTTATTTTCTTCAGCAAAACTAACACTGTCGAACGTTTTCTAGCTAAAAGGTCTTTAAAGCTTCAACTGAATGCATTTTTGCAACTGCCTATTGTATAAAAATTGGCCTAATTTTTCTGCCACTAATTTCGTAGAAAATACCCCATAGCCAAAATCACTTTTGCCGCCATCTACACTTGCAACTAAAAATGCTATATTAATCAGCAAAAATAAAATAAAATAAACTTTCACCACTAAAAGGAAACATTTCCAATTGCTGAATCACCATGAAAAATACGCCATTAAAAGAAATAGGCAGGCAATCTCTTAAGACAATTCCGAATCGACTTGAGATAGCAAGCACAACATTTTAGGAGAATATACGATCGGGATTTATGGCCAATAAACAAGCCTAAATCAGAGAAAAGGCCTATTTAAAGTAATAAAGTGACGTTTGGAGGAGAAGAAACAATTTGCTCTTAATTTATTGAAAACACCCATTTGTGTCGATCAAAACTACAAAAATCTGCTTGTTAAAGATTCAAATGCACTTTTCCTGATTCAATTCATCGAACCCATTAAGATCTGCATCAGCTTTCAAAATACTTAAGCACCAAATTGGGATAATTGATAAAAACCATTGTACTGTAATAACATAAACAGTTTAAGAACAATTACTGTAATTGGCTCAATTTAAATCAATCACCCAGCGCGAGCCATTAAATTAATGGAACATACTCTGCGATTTTGCTAACTAGTCTGAAGAAACACCCCCACGAAACTTTTTCCAATTTTCTGATGAAAAGAATCATCTTCGGGTCAATATAAATTCACAACAGAGCAAATCCGGGGAACAGTTGCAAGAATGTGAACTAGTTTGGGCCCTTCTTTGGTGAAAAATCCGGCTAAATGGCCAAGTCATACAATATTCAGGCAACTTTGGTTTGGGCCCCTTCGGACAAAAACAGATACGAACGGACAAGCAGTATAAATCAATAGACCAATGCTGGATGTGGAGGGATTTACAGCAGGAAAACCGAACGCAATGTTTGACTGTAAGTTACACAGATGCGGAACAGCCAACTTACTGGATCAGTTTTAGCATTTCAAGCAATTTCTTAGTTTTGATGAGAACCTGAAGTTCATAGGGGCAAATACCAGTAGGAAAAACTTTTCGCGTTGGAAAAATGGACTCTCTCCAATCATATTCCCATCGCCTTATCATACACCTGAAACAGGGCTTTGCTCAGATGTTAAAACCACTTCTAGACCCACAAATAAATCATAAGACTTTTTCAAATTGTCCATAGTGGAATCCTTTGAAATTAGTCGGACCCTTTTCAATATAGATTAAAGCTTAACTGCGTGTGATTAACAAGTTCGACCCTGGCAATCATCCGCATCGAAGCTACTATCCTATCCAGGCATCCCTTATCCTTCCCTCAGGCCAGTTCTAACAGTTCGATCAATTGCAGAAGCGAAAATTTGGGATTATTTACGCACTGTGAGGCCTTCTAACGATTTTGAACGCGTCGTGCACTTAGGGTTTGCAAACTTGAACCCTCAGCGCGATAGATTAAATTCATATTAAGTGGGAGGCGATGAAGGGGTGGGTTTGAATGATTTTTCTTGTTAAATAACCTCGAAGGGTTTATTTTTGATTTTGCTAGAAATCGGGTTTTGAGCGGCGTAATCCTAGGGCGGATTGAAGAGAGGTTACAATACATCAAGGAAGTTGATGAGATTTTAAATTATTATTAAATATGTCGGTTTCTTAGGGAGAATGGACAAATGGTTATGAAATACATATGTACTGTTTCAGTCGCCGCCTTAGCAGCTGAAATAGTTAAAATTTGCAAATTTGCAAATTATGCATCAACGGGTTTGTTTCCTTTAAAAAAATTAACAAAAAGAGTTTCAAATATGCACTTGTTCATTTAAATTTTAAATTTCAAGAAAATAAATAAAAAGTAATGAAGGAAACAAATCAGCTAATATTGCCATCGCCTGATCAGCTCCGAATAGTCAACATATCCAAATTACTAATAAATGCGTCTGTTTTGCTCATAAACTAACATGTAATTTTTCATGAAAAACACTTTTTCGAAGTGAATTTCCTTTTGATGGATACTGTAATAATCTGTTTTCAAAGTACGGCCATCACAACTGATGGTTTAGAATTAATAGTTATCGTAGTAATCTAGGAAAGCGAGAAGACACGAAGTATCACAGCTGAAACCTATTTCATTAGCTTAATGTACATAATACTGGTCCTTTGCTATTCAGATTTCATCTTTAAACCCGTCGATAATAATGTATAATCGGAATTTTTACGGTACCTTAAAGGTGCTGCCTCCTGGATAAATCCACACAGGTCGAGTATTCCTAATAATGCTCTATTGATAGCCAGTTTTAACCGTATACATACAATGATTATAGACATTCTACACATAGAGTAACAATAAGTTTCTGAGAACAAAATGCGCTGGAACAAGAGGATCTAGTCAAAATGTTCTTTTGTGCATTCTTGTTTCTTTGAATGGCAATTCCGTTAACTACACAATCGGGCTCTTTTATTCACAAAAGAAATACACATAGGAAAAGGTTTATCTTATTACCCAAATGCGCTGATAATGTAACTTAAGCAAATTTGTCGATTTCAGATTTATATATATAACTGATGATAGTTCGCCAATATCAAGACAAATGCGACACTTTTTTGCTGTTGATTGGGTGTGTTTATCTTGCATAAATGATCTGACGGAAATGAAAAATTTTGCAATTTTGTAATTTTGCAATTTCAAAAATCACCCCACAACTTCAGTTTAATGTTATATAGAAAAACTTCAAAGTCTCGAGCTTCTAAACCGTGTTTTATTATATCAGGTCCGAATTGAAATATATTTTCCTTGTTAATTCTCTGTGCTGAATATTGTTTGGTTTTGCTGATTAACAGTTTCTAATGTGTTTACAGGCAAACGTTATTAACCAAAAATTACGATTATTTCGGAAGCTGCTCGCTTGCTTACCAATGCGCTCGACTCACTTTTCGCTTCTTTGTGATGAAAATAATATCAAATTCACGTAATTTTGAGACATTTTATATTTTTTCGCAAATATCGGCCTCACTCCTTGTAAAAATTAAGTCAAAATTAAAATGTAACAAGTGGTATGAAGGTCTATTTGCAGTAAACCCAATTTTAGGAACCTTTATTTAGAGCAAAATATTGAACTCATTTGAAGCAAACACATTGTATTTTTGCAAATTTATTGAAATATTTGTGTCAAACGTATCAACAAAATTTCGATTTAATCAAAAAACTTGAACGGTACTCGGAATACACTAAATAAAGTAAACCATTCTGGAAATCGTTCTCATTTATCTGAAACACGTGAAAAGCACGTGTGGCAGATGTCACATATTCGGCTGTTTTTCCCTTTCACGTTTCGGATTGTAGGTATATTATCGCTGAACCGTTGGGGAATTACTTCTAAAGCCGCTCTATGTGTACCGAACGAAAAAAAATAGCATTATGTGCTATAAACTCAATTGTAAAGGGATTTTGTACCTACCTTGCTCAGGTATGCCCGTTGAGCCTGAACAAGGTAAGATGCGGCATTGGCTTTGAATTTATTTTAATAAAACTTCGAATACTTACCGAAATCATTCGGAGTTCCATTCATTCCGGACGGTCCTGCCATCACTCCACTCAGTGCTGCATAATCTTCAAGACAAAAATTGTGTTTTAATTTCAACATTCAACTGATTTTGAATTATATCATCGAAATAATGTTTCTACCTTGATATCCCATTATGTTTGGAAATGGTGCTCGAGACGGATCCATAATGCTGCCATTTGGGTGAAAAATGTTGTGATCATCGATCATGTTCTGATACTCCTGTTCGAGTTTCGGTGTTATCGGCTCGCCATCACCGTGGTCGCTTGGGCCACTATCACTTCCATCGCTATCGTCACCGTTGGACCGCGAATGGTGCGTTGGTGAGTTAATATTACGTTTCTAATAAATTGTAATAATAGTAATGTATAAAAGATTGCAAAATGATCAAATTACTAACGGCTTTTACTATTATACTGGGGCCTCCTTCAAGTGCTTGTCCTAGAATTGATTCGTTATCTCCATACGATGAACGACTATTTCCTCCTGTGGAAGAAACAGCGTTGTTGGATAGTTTCGGTTTTTTTTTAGGATTTGGTGAGCTGGAAGTGTCATGATTCCTTTCTAACCCATCTGTACTCCAAGGTATGCTTACGCTCTGAAACATTAATTGAAAAATGTTTTCATTAGTGGAATATTGCAGGTGGACAGTTGTGGCTTAATTTCACTTTGCAGTCAAATGTTGTATAAGGTCGTTATCTTAATAAAAGCATATCAAATTTATGAATTTGCTTTCAATAAGTCAATCATGTATGGGACGGTGTATACGGAGTGATTAAGGAATTAATTAAGTATAAATAAATATATAAATACTATACTGTTACTGAGAATTCCTGCAAGTTAATTAAGTCGTGGTAATTACTGGGCTTGATTTGTCCGAAAAATATGTGAAAAATCTTTGATCTCAGCCGGTCAAGCCATGCATTTGACTTGAAACACGAAATTTAATTATTTTTCCAAAAAATCTCCGGAGTTGTATGTGGTGTTGATATCAGCAATCTTTTAAATTAAATAAATAAACAACAATTTTTGAATCGAATTAATTCGATAAAACTGAGCATCAAAAATTTGTTCCCACGTTTCCTCAGATGTTGGCTCAATTTTATTATAAACCGCTCATTAGTTCAATATTGGGCCATCAATATTCAGTTGCTTCAGCAATAAAAAATTAAAAACCGAGTTTATTGACTGAAAATTATCAAGGGAAATTAATGGTCTTCAGGCTAAAAGTAAAACAACTCGCAGAAATGTCAGCGAACTGGCTGAAGCCTACATGTGAAACTTGAGTTCATTTTGTTGTTAGATGTCCATTCCCTTTTCAAAAGTTGTTTGATTGCAAATGGGCAACAATCGGAAAAAAACTAGTCCGGTCAATCAGAGTGGATTCAAGCTTGTCAATCATTAGCAAATTACTTTTTTTTTAAACAACTTAAGGACATTGCAGGATTTTACATAGAGACTACTTGTGTAGTTTCAGTAATTTCTAGTTTTTGTTCCGTTCTAGTTGGCCTCATGCATGATGCAATCAAAATCAAAGTCGTAAAAAAAACCCGAAAAATAAAATACAATTATTTGTGTCAAGAATGTTGAGGATTTATCGTGAAAACCTGACGACTAATCTTCGAGCATTGAAATGGTAAATGTTAATTACCTAATCTAAATAATATTTACGTTAAATGTGGGATATTTTAATCGAAGTGAAACCACTCAGTAATGTGCAAACAAACATTCTAATACTTAAAAATTGGCGCTTTAAACAATTATCAGCGCTAATAATATGGTAAATAACGTTGGCTGGCCACGGATCGAGAAAAAGAGGTTTCCACTTTTATAGACAGGTGCAGTGCTCGGTTAATATAACTAACACCATTTCAGTTACTATTGTGAAACTCCAGTTTATACATATGGCTACTTATTTATTATAATTTGAATCGATTAAGACACACCTGCATTTTTTGGCAAAATGGTTTCTTTTTTCGGTGTCTACTTTCAATTTGTCGACCAATTTTATTAACCGTTTCCAAACAAGTGACCTTTTTGTAGTTGCGCAATTCCCAAGATTCACAAATTAGAAACATAATGAATACCAACATTTATTAGTCGCATCACTAATCACGTTGTTCAATTAAAAGTACATTTGTTGTTTAATTATTTAGGTTTCACCTTAATCTTCCAATTGTTTCCTTTGTCAATGAAAACCCAGCTGAAATATGAAAGATCGCCTACATAAGACCAGAAAAGACCTCGCGGTTAAATCACGTTTGATTTTAGTTCGTTGCGAGTACCGTGTAACCGAAACCGGGTAATAATTATCTAAAAGCAATTATTATTAAAAATTAACATACTCCAGTCAAAACCTCAAGGTTGCATAATCAGGTTTGGTCAGGTAATCATATAATATCCGAAATACGTAGTTAAATAAAAATTACACACTATACACGCTCGTCATTTACACCTAATTATTTATTTCAGTCTTTACAAAACCCGATCTGGTGTACGTATAAAAAATTGTCTAGAATTCAAATTGTTTTACACCATTTCAACAATCGATAACTAATTTTGTACTAACACTTTAATTTTGCTTGTTAAGATTTGGAGGATTCGCCGCCTTGGTTAAAAATCAAACGCACTTTTATATGCAATTTAAGAAGAGACAACATTAACAGAATATGTTACTTTATAAGTTCCAGTACTAAATAGCAACAAATTTTACAAATGCTTTTAAAAAATTCACAAAATTAAAGATCACGTTGTTAGCCCTGACTCCACATAAAAATTGAGAATTATCACTACTCCAAAACGTTTTTGAACTTCAAACTAACAACAAAAACCGTCAATCGATGTATATCATCATTCCCCAATTTACAAACTTTTTCGCTATTTGAATGTAGTTAGTTTTTTTTACAAAAGTTTTTAACCCCGATTCACTGTAAATCAATTTTAAACGGAACGAAAAGAAATACAAACCACCAGCATGGGAGAAAAAAAACCAATTTTGAGTGGTCGAAATGTGAGTAGGCACCAACATTGCAATTCAGCCCTCTTAGAAATGTTCATAAAAAACAGGTCATTTTAAACGGAACAACTGATAAACCCCATGAACAGTATGGAACTGTTATAATTAATCAAACGTGTTCTTTCTCTATGGTTCTTCAATGAAATTTGTGACAGAATCATAAATTTTATTAGCTGCTGTCGCTCCTCAATTTGTTCAGTCACGTCTAACTTTGAATAATTTGAGCGCTTCTGCTTTCTTTAATTAGATATACAGGGTATTGAGTGTTTCCTAACAGAGCTTAAACAGTCGAGAGAAGATTGTAAATTCCCCCAAACAGCTTGCATAATTAATGATGGTCAACAGTTTCGATAATTGATTTTGGCACAGCTTCAACAAATGAACCACCTTGGGTGTTTCGCACTGTATTCAAGTAGTTTTTAATGGTCATTGGAATGAATGTCGAAATTTCTTTTCAAGCAGGTTCATAATTATCTTAGGTACATTTTGTGCATTTCTATGCAACTGTAACCTTGGCTATTCACATTTGCCGTAACACACGAAGACGCTTGGATTCATGATCTATTAGATTACTTAGATGCTTTGTCATTTTTCAAATGGTTTTGGTTTCTTAACCCGGACCCCATAATGGCAAGTGATGCCGCTTGCCACTCGTTTGTCTTTTAAGCATTGAATTTGGGGCCGCTTTCAAGCCCTTGGAGCTGTTTTAAGAAAAAATTTCAATTCCTTGAAAGAGCCTTTCGAAATTTTAGGCCATGGTGAGTTTAAATTTCCAAAGTTTCGTAGGTGCACGTGGCTGGCATCTTCAGAGGTCTCTAACACGGAAGACTCAACAAAAGGATCAAAAAATTTCACGGAATAATTGATTTTGAATTGCAATTCACTTTTAATTAATGTTAGCCAGTGTTCTTTCTATAGCAGGCTGATATGTAGCATAATGCGTAAACGCATTCACTACAAATGTTCAACTTTTTACTTACGGTTGAGATGTTTTGTTCTGAGAGCGACGTGGGCGCGTTGTTCTCTGTCGCCAGTATTTTGGACAATGGAACATCGGCTAATCCCTTCACTTGTAAAGTTTGTGCAGTTTTCAAAAAATCTTTTAACTGTTCTCGTCCGATGTTCACTTCTCCGTTGTACATAAACCTGCAACAACACACAATTCTTTTAGATTTTTTAGATTCGTTTGAGCAAATCAGTTGAGTTGAATGAATAAACTGTTCAGTCAAAAAAATAATTGTCCCACTATTAAAGTTCCAATGAGTTTTATTAGTTTGCATCTATTTTGGAGGTCCTGGTAATGTCGAGACACCGTTAGTCCTAATTGAATCCGGGTAACACGAAATGGAACACTTATCAATCATCAACTTAGCCAAACAACATCTAATGTTTTAAAATTAATAAACCGTAAAACTGGCTTCTAAGTGATATATTTCCGATCCTCGAAGACAAAGAATAATTAAAACTTGTTAGATGAGCGATCGTTGTTAGACATCATTTTCGGATTGCTTGTTCTGCCCGAGCAGACATGTGAATGTGTGACTTATTTATTTAAGAATTCGGCAGTTGGAAAGTCGAAAATAACTTTCAATTAACGGGAAAATGATACAGTTAGTACTTAACTGGAAGTATTTGAATAAGCAGCTTTAGTTACTGCTCTTTTTTGGAACACTCAGTATTGGCTGATTTTTGCAAGAAATTATTCCGAAATTGGGGCCAATTTACACATGCAGAAATCTGTTGAATAGTTCGAAAGTGCAATAGTTATTCTAAGATAAATTCGATAGCCGAAAGGAGTTTTGCAAAAGCATGCAAATTACGTACAATCTAGATAATAATTAGAATCATCATTTTTGCCGATGAAGTGAAAAGATGAGTGAAAGAACTCGAACTTGAATTAATTCCAGCATTAGTGACTTTTTCCCCAGAAGTTCATTAAAACCAGACTCTAATTGCAAGGACGGATTTTCCAGCAAGATGGTATTTCTTCACACTCAGCTGCAATTGTGCTCAAATTTTTGTCAATCAGTGGATAAGGGGAGGACCTATTGAGTGGCCTCCTAAATTACCAGAGATAGACTTCTCTGACGGGTTACCTCAAACCCTCAAAAAAACGTCAAGAAATATTATTTCAAGCAATGCGAATAATGCAACTTAAAGATTCTCAAATGGTTTCCAGGAAAATTATTCAACTGATCAGCGTGTCGGATTTGATTCGATAATGAACCCGTTGCTATTATTAATACGGACATTAGAAATTTATTGAGGACGCTGCTGGGCAATTTACGGTTTTAGAAAAAGTTTGGCACTTTAAATCGCACAATCTACATTACCGATGAATCACAAACAAGACGTATGTTGTAGACGCTCGTATTCACGGGCTGGTCGTAATTAGATAGAATAACCTCGATTTTTAAGGTCAAAAAATCTTCAAATTCACCAAAATAAATTTTATTAATGTTTTTTAAGTGTCCGAGCCCGAATACCCTGTAGGTATGACGGTTTGGATGTGTAAAATGGGCAAATCATGCAAATGCGGCAACTAAGCGACATTTGGTAATAATTGGGGCGATCTTTGAATATGTATGCTGATTTGGAGAAACTACCTAATATATATGCCAGTTTTAATTTACACTTAATTTTGTTTTATAGTTGTCTACCAATTCTAATGGTCAGTGTCGGAAATAACATTTTATGTATGCATCATCTGCATGATTTTACATTGAAAACTGAAATCAGACTTTTAGTTGCCGATAGATTCGGTTAAATATCCAAGGATGGATGGATATTTTTTGACGTATTTTTCGGTCACTGATAAAAAATTTCAGTCCTACTTATAAACTAGACACTGTTTGGTTCTCGATTCAATTGGCGTCAAAAATTCACATAATTTCTATTTCCAAGATATTCGTTGATGGTTGCCGCGCCGAGCAAACCTCCTCTAAAGCCACGCGTGCTTCCGAAACATGAGTAAGAGATTTTTAGCCATGAAAACCCGCAAAACCCACCAGCATCGACAAACTAATTGTTCTTAAAGACTGAGACGTTTGTTTATATAAATCTTTTGGGACACCAAAAAAGGAGGTTTCTTTTATTAGCCAGGATATGAATTGTCTGCAAATTTTCCAAACTTGCAACCTCAAGAGTCTCATTTAAACCATCTATCCATTTAAGTGAGCAGAAACTTCAGGTCCCCTTCTTGCCCAAAGTTAAGAAACATTGGTCCTATTGGAAAAACTTGGAAGCGTTTTTGAAAATTACATTTTTCGGGGATTTGTAGGATAAATCTAAATTTCCAAAATTCAAAATAAAGGTGACAATGTCAGAGTAAATGGGCTCATAAAATCAAGCCCTTATAAATAACTCTCCAGAAATTCCATAAAATATTCTTTTCGAAAAAGCAGCAGTGCCTAAATGTGTTAAATTATTTTTCAATGTAATCCAGACCAGAAATTCTGTTCAATTTTAAGACACAAAATAAATGAATCAATAAATTAGAACCAAACAATAAAGAATAAAATGTGTTTTCATTTTGCAGTCATTTTAAGTATCAACCATTACAGCAATACAAATACAAAACGTACCAATCATTTCTTCATGCAATACAATGTATGGTACATATTAACAAAATGGACACTTTATTGCAGGTGCTTATGACCGATTGACCATTGTTTGTTGCACTTATGAATGGATTTAAAGTATTTGAATTTCAGCAAATTAATTTTCCCATTCAATTGAAATTTGAACATTACAGAAATGTAAACCAGGTCGAAAGTGGACCATAAATAACTCGAAACGAACCAGCTTCTAATTAGATAAAAGAACTTTCTGCTAGTATTTAAGATCATAACACATACGCTCCAATATACACTTGTCACTGCTTGATATAATCTTGAATTAATTAACATTTAAATAAAGAAACTTTTACGTTTACTAATCTCCTTTTTCGTAAATTAGGTGCTAAAATTTATTGGTACTGCTTAGACGATGGAATAGGATGTCAAGCGAGATATTCTCCGCCTTTTAATAATTTATATTACCCGCTATTAAATAATTTCTAAAAGTAGTTCTCTTATACAGTTTTAATTGGCTACTTGATTAGTAGGTAAATAGTTTATTTAATTCGTCGTGTTCCTTTCCGAATTTAAATGTTTATTTCTCGGGCATCATTTAAATATTTAATGTGTTGCGCAGGTGAAATTTACATTGTACAAAACCGACAGTTTCTGGCTGGCGTTCACCAATTCACCGGTTTTCTTTAATGATCTTTCCCAAGTACCAAAACATACCTCAGTAGGCTGTCCATGTCTTTCCGGTGAATGTCCCATAGGATGATGATGGGGTGTTGGCACGGGTTGGCTTTCAGTAGTTCCCTGAAGTAAGGACTGCAAGCCGAAAGTACCACTCTGTGAGCTTCGAAGGATTGTCCTTCGCATGCTAGAGTCACGTCAACAAAATCCTCCTGAAACAAAAAACACTCTCTATAACACGCCATTGTTTCAATTCAATAATCAGGCAAAAATAATTCTTTAAAATCTACATATGCAACTTTCGACAACACTAATCTTATCCGAAGCAAATTCTCCTGATTAATCAATGTCACAATACCAGATATCATGGTACCTGAAAAAAGCGATTATTAACATTCATCTCTTAGCCGCCTCATTTTATCGACACTAAGTTCTTCGCGAAGATCAACACACCGTTCGGTGACTCATCAGTTCTTCAATTGCTTCTTAAAATCTCACTACTTAAACATCGATTCTTCTTAAGCAAACGGAAACTACACATGAAGTACTGGGAATTTGAATGTTTTAATTGGGAGTTAAATGGGGGGAGGTGGTTTGATTTGAATTTGAAGATTTAGTTTGAAAATGCACAACAGACTAAAAGAGGAATGGTAAAAAATTGTGTGGTTTCTAGCTCAATTAGGTGACAGTCGTAATAAATAAGCCCGAACATGGTCAGGGTGGTGATAATTCCAAAAAAAATTTCACCATCTGAATTAGACCTCCTATCAGAATTTTATCACATGCCGTGCACATTAATCAGAACCTTATGCGGTCCCCACATTTTATTAGTGAGGCGCAATAACTTTCCAGGCCTCAAGACTTTTATAATGTTGTACGTTAATTTAATTACCAGTAGTTTAATCTGGCATCAGCAATTTGCATACATTGACGGGAAAAAACACGTCACAGGGGGGTTAAAATTAGGTAAAAATATACATATGGAGGAATGCATGGCCATTTTGTACCTGGACACGCAAATAGCTCGCTCCCATGGGACTGATAACATAAACATGTGTGAATGTTTCCTTAAAATCTCCAAATACTCAGCAAACTGGAAAGCGATTGAATCATTTCCAGTGCGCGAGTTCCACGTGGCAAATACATTCTTAATTTCCATAATTAGACTTATTACGAAGAACGAAAAAGCGCGTCCTTAAATTTAGCTGTATGAGAGTGAATGGGCACTTGAAGTTTGCCATACTGGAAAATAATTAAATTATTTCCAGCTTTGCGGGTTCCACGTGGCGGGTCAAGCATGTGGCGTTGATATAAAAACAGTCTTTTTAATAAAGTAGATAATAAAAAAATACTACACAGGAAGCATAGTGAGGCTTTGTTACATTGCAAAAGGGCGATAAGGGTCATAATACCTTCACAATGATGTGAAAGTGAAAGTTACATTTCACTTTCTAAGATACCTGTCACTTTCCAGAAGATTTTTTTTAATTTCAGATTTCCAAAAAAAAATCACGAATGGCAAATGAAGTAATAAGATTTCAACAAACTGATAATTTTCAACAATTGGAACACTAAAACTTCTTTTTAACTTCTCACTAAAAGGTTTTTCTGAATTTAAAAAGTAGCTGAAAGTATTGCGGATACAAATTCATGAGTAGGCGAGTAGTAGGAACCTATTTAAAAATCTTCGAAGGGCACTGGAACATTATTTGGCTAAGATCAAATTACCTAACTTTTATTAAGAAAAATATCCAGCTGCTCTGCTATTGATGGTCAAATTTGTTCAAAAAAATGAGTTTTTGTAATATCGGGAGAATGAAACGATAGTTCTTGTGCAAATCATGGTTTGATGAAGGAACCGAGTTCATCCGCTTTGGGCAAGTGGTGAATTATTGAATGTCTCGGTACAAAAACTACCAGAACTTTTTATTTGATCTCTGAAATCAACTGATTTTTTGAGTTATTAAACTAATCCTTTTCGGGCTCTTTGTAAAATCTTGTCGCATTCATAGTTTTTGCAACAAAAATAGTTCGGTTTCCTCGCAATCTAACAATTTCATTCGCAAAAGCAAATACTCTGAAACTTCTCTTCATTTTTGATTGATCAAAGCCCGTGTCCCATGCATCCCGTTGATACGATGGTACGATGGTACGATGATACGAAAGTGTCTCTATTGAACACTTTTTTAATTTTTAATAGTTTAATAGAAACACTTTCGTATCATCGTACCATCGTATAAACGGATGCATGGGACACTGGCTTAAAGCCAGGACGAAGAAAGACTTACTATGAATTTGTTGTATTTAAGCGACATTGACTTAAAGCTCGTACAAGCCAGTAAAAGCTATTTATGTAAAACAGTACTAAGATGGGAAATAAAACTGGAAATTCTAGAGGAAAATAAGTTGCGTTAAGAATTTTACTTTATAATTTGCGTCTGTGACATAACTTGTAGAATAATTCTCGAACCGAAAAATTGCACTTCCGGTAAGGTTCAGTAGCATTCAAGGCTTGAATAACACTGTTATCTGAAATGCTAATTATTTGCGAAAGTTCATGTTTTATCTGCAACAATTACCGCAACATTTGCTTCTGCGGTTTGTTGTTCGTTACATTTATCGGCAATTACGAGCTGATTGAACGTTTATAAAACTTGCATCTGGCTTCCGTATTGTTCACTTTTTTAAGCTTCTAAGCTAAGCTTCAATGGCATTTTGAGCAAAGCAAATATTGAATAGCGCAGAATAATGAGAAGTTTATTGAGGAGTGCTTAAAGAAGTGGATTTTGCGTTCAAAGAATAGTTACCAGAGGTTATTAATAGTGCATATTTGAAAATGGAAATTTTCTTTTCTTTGACTTGATTGGGTTTGAAGTAAAAATTCTGATCCTTTGTATTAAAAGTATGCCTGGTTTTGTCTCTTTTTCATACTGGTTTTTAACGTCTCTTCTTCATACTTTAATTTAAAATGTTTTCAACCCAAAGTACTACGCCCCGATAAACCGTATCAGATTACACCTTTTTACGTTTTTTTAATACATATCTTAGACATCTGCTTACTCCGAAATAATTTCCGTACAATATTGAGCTGAATTTGCAAACAAAAATCGCCATTTGAATGCTTTCAATAAAAATAAATTTATATGTGTTTTAAGTAGACTTTATATAAAAAGTGCATCTGATTTTAAAAAATATTGTGTTGACTACAATTTCCCATTCGCGTGTTTCCGGGTTTGCGTCCGTTTCATTTTTAAACGTTTTTTAATATAAAGTGGACAATCGATAGCCTTAGAAACTATGACTATAAATTTAAATGTTTTCTTACCGCGTCTCTCAGATGACCAAATGAGGAGATTATTGAGGAATGAAAATCATTCCATCTTAACGAATATTGCTGATTCTGGGGGGTCTCGGCCCCCATTGTGCAAAACGTAGGGGCAATCTACACTCCAATCTTTGGCCCGGTGCGTACGCCGGTATTTTGGATACACAATAAGCCACTGTGCTTGAATTGATACGAATCAATAAAATTCACATCAATTTTTCGTTCGTTTGAGGAGTCCTAGAGCATGTGAGTAATCTGAAACAACAGAAACAACATGTTTGAAACACAAATGCGAAAACACCAATTTGATGCTTAATTTGCCTTGGCTGGAAGAATAACGGTTATTTGATAATCATAGTAAGTACCGACGTACTTGAATTATGCAGACACATACGCGGGCAGGTTTAACAAAACCAGAAACTCAACTATAATTATCCATACTTTCTATTATTAACATCATGCTGACGGCTGAAGTGAATAAACATTTCATTTCAGCTAAAACAATTTACATTGAAATTGTAGGGTACTTAACTGAAATTTGAATAGTTACTTAACACACATATAGGTGCCTCTAAATTATATGCAGCCACTAATTTACTTGGATGATTATCATTACGTGCTAATGAGAAATAACTTATGTGATGCACAAAACTGTGTGTATTTTTCCTAACTGGTTAAATTGAATTATTTAAGCAAATACAACACAAAGCAACCAATTTTGAAGTCAAAATCAACTTGGTTAACTAACAATTACTGAAGCACATTACACTCAAATATATCGGTTGTGTACCTAATTAAGAAATTCTACCTACACAAAAATGCTGAAAACCGATAGAGTATGGCGTGATTTTCCTGTATCGGTCATTATCAAATTGTTGGGAACCGTTAAATTGTTACCTACACATCTATTATGCTCATGAAGTATTGAAAAATGGTAATAAAATAAATAAACATAAATTTGGTGAATTAATATTCCGTGTACGGGTGGGTGTTCTAAAGCGCAATTATTATAAATTTTAGTACTTACGAATATGGCTATTTTTAAGACTTACTTCATGTCATACGCTTGAGAATCTGCTGTAATGTTTGTTTTCAAACGGCATCAGTATTCGTTTAATGAGTATTGTATATGTTCTATTGTTATAGGAATGCCTAATGAAATGAATACAGATTCTGGTAATCAAGTGCTGAAGCGATGCTAATTCTTCAAAGCGCTCACATTCTTTTCGAATGTTACATATTAATTTCTTTAAACAATCTCACTGATGCTCATAAAATTATCAACTATTTCCCATTATTACATTTTTCTTCTGTGCTTCGCGGCAATGAAATTGTTAAGGAAATAATTAATATCAAAACGTGGTAACCGCACTCGCACTTGCCAGATTAAATACCTCATAAAACGTATTATTTTTAATTACAACGAGCACATTTTATGCGTCAGATATTTTTTCCAATTGTTAGTAATATTTCTGTTTGTATGATGGGAACTCATTTACATTCTAGCCCCTCACTAGAAATAATTAACCGCATTATGGATCCTTATATTATTATTCAAGATCAATTAATTTTATCGGTCATTGTTAACGTGGTGAAATGGGAAATTATTTGATAATGGCGAAAGTGATTTTCTCCCATTCATTCAGCTATTAATGAAATAAAACAATTGAGTGGTTAGAAAAACCATAAAATAATTGCAGTGATGAAACTCGACAAACTTGCAAAAATACATTTTCCAGGTTTAATCTACTACAAAACCAGCCATGGTGTTGAAAAACGCATTACAAAAATAAGGTTTCGTGAAAAATATTATGTGGGTCAAATATTCATACATACAAACGTCCACCTAGTTTTAAAATACATATTTCTAACACATGTGAGCACCACAAAAAAACCAAAAATATGTGGTTGGAGAAATTGAAATACCCAAAGAGCCATTTGATTGCTGGTTAGTTTCAATTTCATCTGGTCAGGTAGTTGGTCAAGTTTTTAAAGCCAAAGCCAAAGCCAAACCCAATTTGTATTATACGTTTCTTCTAATGAATCGATTCAAAATCAATTGAAGACCTTTTGGAAAATAGAGCATTCAAAATCACTTTGCCCCAGTACAAGAACAATGGATCGGTTTTCCTTAGAACAAACCGAAACTAGAAAATGTACAATAAATTACCGTAAATCAGAGTTTACAGTGAATCAGTTTCAAATTTTTGAAAATAACCCTCAAAGCATTTTTCTATTCTTTGTTGGATTCTTCAAGCGATTATATTCAGCACTAAATAATATTTGAACTTTCGAACGGAATAATTTTTCTGCTCAACTCTTAAATTAAATTTTCGCATAGCGGAACGATGTGTAAATAATATAAATTAAATTAAAAATATGCTGAAAAATGCTTGTACATTTTTTAATTCATTAGACGTAAACATTTCTTGATATCGAAGTGTTTTTTGAGTGATTTTAAAACAACTTCCAATTGAAACGTATTCAGAAAAATAGCTAAAGCACAAAAAACGAGCGTTTATATAAAATATAAAATAAGCGTTTATTCATAAAAAAATCAGTGCAAGTTGGAAATTTTTAAAACATTTAAATGTTACTTAGGAAATACACAGCTATTTGTGAAAACAAGAAAACGTACATTAAAGAATGTGCGCGTTAGCACGCAACTCATAGTTACTTTCGAGCTTTTAGCATTTATTAACGAATGGGAATGTTTGCCTGACAGGCGCAAATACACCAAAAATTAATTCACTTGAACGACATGCGTCTTAAAATAAAAATAGAAAAATTAATTCAAATAATTTATTAGCCTGTTTACTTTTTTTCCGAGCACTTGCACAATCATCGTATTTTCAGATCTAGTCTAGCAATTTGCCCGGCTTTATTTTCGAACTTTTACTCAGGTTTTTATTGGATATTAAATATGTCATGCCGCCCCACGGTGTTCCTTATAATTAAGTAGCAAGAAGCCAAAGACATATTTTATAGGCTATTTTTACGCCTTCAAACGTGCTAGTTGATTTTTTTTATATGTATAACTGGTAAACCGCGTTTTTTTCGGGGATATATTTATTTTTAAAAAGTATGATTTGCCCATCTACTCGGGAAATTGTGCTTATGCAGGTTATTTGAGTACGCTACCAATCAGGGGGTGATTTTAAATAAAAAAGCTTTTGAGTCTAGTTCGAAATAATAAAGCTACGCAAATGACTCTCGTGTAATATAGCTTGTCCCAGGGAGATGGAACAATGCAGTTTTCTGCTAGTTTCAAAGCCAAGCGAGATACGAAGAAAGATTTACAAAGGTGGATAGAGTTCCTGAATTCGACAAATCTTGAAAAATGGAAGTTAATTGTGCATTTTTTTAAAATGTCCAGGTGGTCCTCCGGAAGACAACTGGGTTTAACACTTTAGGCCGATTAAACAAAAGTTTAATCGGCCTAAAGTCTTTAGTCTCATTTAAGAAACTTTTTTTATTCAAAAATCGATCTCTTGGCCTTCCCTCCTTTATGAAATTTTCGACCAAAAATCAAAATTTCACACCATGTTTCTTACCCCCATTGGATTGTTTCCTACCTAAGAAGCTGCCCAATAACAAATAATATAAATGTTGTGGGTCTATAGTAAGGAATATATCGGCCGTGAAAATGATTTGTATATTAGTAATAAAGCATTTCCTGATATGGACTTTACTTTTCTTCATAAAATCACTCAGAAACTAACCACCTCTTTGGAGTTTGACTCTGTACTATAAAAATTCCTAGTAGACTTTGCACTTTGCAAATAGAGTCCAACGTAAATATTTTTAACGGATTAGCGCTTTCTAACAACACTCGCAAATTTGGAAATAAGTAAATCTGCTAACAGAATCGTGGGATTTTGTCCTGATCCACTCTCAACTCAGTTGTTTTCTTGTGGCTTCATCTTCAGTTTAAAAAAATTTGTGCTTCTAAATAAATGTTTTAACTGAATCGATTTTGCTTAAAGCGGCCTACTCACACGGCAGCAGATGACTAGATGATGATCATGATCTGATGATGATGATAAAGCAACACGAGGTTTAAAATGTAGGGTATGAATAGACTTTTGTAGACTTTAGTTAGATCCTGACCCACCGTACTCCTCAGACCGCAAAAGAAAACTTCAGAAGTACCCACAACCCTTAAACGTGACATCCCGTTTAAGTTTTGAAAGAATGGATTTTTATTTTTCCTACCGCCGATTTCATGCATTTCGTCCCTTTCTTTTCACACACATAGTTAATTGTTCTCTTTAAATGCATTACTTTGACCGCTTCAATTCTTTAAATTCAATTATTCGTTTATGGAACCACATGGGCAAAAGAAAGATGAAGAAAAACCCAACCAAGATGCGGTAGCAAAACCGCAGGACCCAAAGAGAATAAAGTAAAAGTAAAATAAGTCTGCAACCTGATCGAACGTATAAATGCTAAGTAAGTATTATTGTTATCGAGATACATAAGTACGTAAAAAAAATGTAAATAAAACTTCGCACATTTGATTATTTTCTTCTCACAAGAATTTCTGGCTCTAAGCAAGAACATTTTTCCAAGTAACCAGTTCAACAATATCCGGAAATATTGTTTAAAAACTGACGAGCGCTTATCCATGAAAAATGAATTAAAGCAATAAAACTTGACAGTTTAATGCAGTCATCTCAAGGTTTTTCGGGGAAATTTTTGAAACCAATATTTTCGACACTGAGACAAGAGTTACTCCGAATACTCAAAAAAAAAATGACTTACATTAGAGGCTTAAAGCAACACGAGGTGAAACACTTCACTTCATGGTTACAACCTGTCCGGCCGTACCATACACCGCAAAAACCGAAGAAATATATCCTATCCACCACCCTGCCCGCAATCTGCTAGATATACTACTGAAGAATTCACACTTTGAACGTATTGGTGCTCATATTAAATTATATTAACAGAAATAAATGTATTCCAAGGAATACACAGGAACGTGGCAAGAAATGCTTGAAATTTAAAATGGATCAAAAGCTGTTATCATCATAATAACATGTACAAAAATTCTAATAGCTTTTCTGATTCAGAATAAGTACGGTTACATAACTGTTACATATTTTTTAAAATAATCATACTTCTTAAAATACGAAAAACATAAATTTACGGACATTAAATTATCTAGTTTTATTTTTAAATTTGCAGTTTTTTTCCTTTGCTTTTAACCTGGCACTCGAACTTAACTTGGAACGCCAGAAAATTTCTCAAATACACTACAATACATACCGACAATTCAAAAACAAATCTCATCGGCAAAAAAATATATTTCGTCTTAAATTGTCGCAAATAAAGCAAATAAAATAAAACCAAATCCCCGAATTAAGCAGGTAAAAGCAACGGGAAGAAGACCTGGAACGTTCGTTCCAGATATTCTCCCATGTTAATGATTAATGGGAGAGGAAGAGCGTTGACAATATGAATATGAAAGGTTACTAAACGGCAAAGCCAGATAATTTAAAAGCTAAGATTCTGTTTCTACAGTTCTTGAAACGACAAAAACTTACCCAAAATCCCCGGCATAAGCCGCAGGTGTAAATGGCAAAAATAACTTAGCGCACTTTTTACAGTGCGAGTTTGAGCTTTTCTGTAAATTCTTAGTATGTTTTCGTATACAAACAGTCCTGAAAGCAAAAAGGCAAACGATATTACTTGGCAAAAGAGAGTAAGCAGCAAAATAAGAAGAATAAAGTAAAAATTGCGTTTAAAAGGGTGTTAGTTGCGATTTTCTGTATAAAACGTGCGTCAATGGGCCGAAATTGTGCACAAAAAACCTGCGAATGGTCGTTTGTGTACATTCTTCCAGAACTTTTATTTCCACATTTAATTTCTTCATTCAGTTTCAGGTGCCTCAGTTTGAAATACCTTATGGGCCTTAGGAATAAACCAAACCCCAACCAACATCAAGGAACAAAAGCCAAGAAAAAAGCTAAGCAAAAAAGTACCTAAACGGACAAAGCAGTCAACACTAAGGTGATGAACTGTTATTGACTTACATAGCAGCTTTTGCCCTGAAAAAGCAGGGCAAAAGTGTAAATAGTGAGTAAGTATAAAACAAAAGAAAGAAGACTTGGAATGCCCATGTTAATGGTGAATGAGTTAGAAAGTCCCTTAACGATAAAAGAAAACCTGTTTATTTATCATAAACATGTTTATCACATGTTGGTTTTGTTTATTTTATTTATGATACACACTTTCTTATATTCTTTCAAAACACTATAATTATAATCTATTAATTGTTATTAATCTAAGTAATTCTAGATCGAGATCAGTTTGAGATACCTCATGCAGAAAGGCAAAATGAAGAAAATCATCACAAAAGGAAGAAATTCAAAAAACATTGAATAGATGCAGAACCAAGATGAAGCAGAGAAAATAACCCTCAAAAAGAACAAAAGTAATAAATTGTTATTGTGAATACCTATGTAATTTATCCAAAAGCTATCCACCATTCCTTAATCATTCTTATCTTTGCTGATATCTTAATCTCTTGGGGTGACTGTTAAAAAATATTCGACAGAACACTTAAGCAACTGAATTCAACGAAAAGAAGACCTGGAACGTTGGATGTTGATGATTAATAGGGTAGAAAGAGCGTTGACGAAAGGAAAACGTTACTAAACCGCAAAGCCATTCAGTGAAATAATTAAAAGCTATGTTGGTTTGACACCGCACTATTTCCGCGATCAAGATTTGCAACACATAGAAAGTCGTTTCCAGAGTTCTTGAAGCGAAAGATACTTACTGAAATCCTAAAAAATCTTAGGATTATTTTCGAAAAGTGAAAGTAGCACTTTTATGGAAACAACGTACACAATAACAAACGATATTAGTCAACACAAATTAACGGGTGTAAAGTGCAACTTACGTGTTTGAATACAATTAGTTTACGTGGAGACTACTTGCACTATTTTGCACTATTCTGCATAAAAAGTGTGTTGATATGTAAAATCAAGGAATATTTTAACTAAGAGATCGCATGAAATGCGTCTATAAATTGTCGTTTGTGTCCACTCTTCCAGATTAGTGCAAAAGTTACCACAGTTAAAGGAGCGAAAACAAAAAGGAGAATAATTTAATTGGCAAGCAGAAGCAAACTTTTGCTATAAATGCAAGATTTTTTTTCAAAGATGCATTTTATTTTTCTAGATGGCCCGGTATAGTGATCTAAAGAAACGCGGAAATCTCGAGGGTTTTCCTTTCCATTGCGTTTCGTTCGAGGGAGCGTTAAAATAAATAAAATCAATACAGCACTAAAAATTAGTAAGTGGACAATGGCGCGCAATGGCAAAAATTCGGGATATGCGCAAAAATAGAGCGGACTGGAGAGAAAAAAGCCCATTTAAAAACTACGTTTGTGCGGCGCAAGAAAAATTCCCTCTGTGATTGGTTCCCAATAATTGCAAAATCAATACGCAGTTAATGCAGTTTAATTGATGACGAATGACAGGGTTTAAATTTCCGATATTTTTCGCTCGGAAGTTTTGCGCAGTAGGCACGAAGATGTTTGTAAATGTTTTTTTGTGAAAATGGCATGAATGAATTGAACCAGCAGACTGTAAAGTAAATCTCCCAGATTCATTTCATTCAGTCTTTAACTCTTTTAACCTGTCTTAGTCTTAGATGAAGGGGCATTTATTTTTGTTTTTAATTTTCTTTAAATGATCAGAAGTTTTGCAAAAAGCTGGATGTTCCAGGGTCTGGGTTTGTTGTCTGGTGCGGTTTTGGACCCATTAGTCCCAAAAGACACCGATCGAAAAACCAATTCACAGTTTCCCGAATTGACTGAGCAATCAGTAAACGAAACTATCAATAATATTACATTTGCAAAAAATACTTACATTTTCAGATTCCTTTTTTTGTTGTTGTTTCTTCTTCAAAACTCCCGACACCGAACTAGCGGTAACGGCAAAGTTGAGAAAAAAGGAACAAACGAAGAATAAACGCGCAAAAAAACAAGACAAAAATCTCGATCACAGTCACAGAAGAGTGCAATGTGCCGATTACAATTGTTTTAACAATCGCCTATCGACAGTCGCTCGTGTGTTTTTTAGCGAGCACTTGCGCGTCAACCTGCCACAGCAAACTCCTCGAAAGCTTTGAACTACTTGCTCTTACTCGCGCCCTTGATGTGAACAACGAGCAAGACGAGTATAAACCAACATGGCTGCGGATTTTGTCTCTCACTCCTCTACAGATTCGGCAAAATAGAGGGACAAAGAGCGACAGAGCAGGGACAGAAATATGCAGAAATGCATAATAGGCCCAGCAGCCAGCAACGTGGAGATCTGATACTTATTACGCTTACTGATTACTTATCAGAATTTGGGCCTTTGTTTTTGCGCGGTTTTTACTATTTTTATTCAAAAATCGTATTTTTTCATATTTTCGTCATTCTTTGATTTAGCTTTATTAAATCCTGGTTATTTTTTGTGTCGACTTGTTTAAACCCCAATACGTTTCCTTTACTCTATTTTATTTACGGAATTCTTTGATCTTTGATTCCCCAATTCTTCTTCAGTCATATGAGCAAATTTCCGAATATCTGAAGTTCCCAGTGGCAGACTTTATTTATTCATATTAGCTCAGATGCTGAAGAGGAATGAGATTCTGAAAAGAAACTTCTGGTGCAACATTTTCGTATATGGAACAATCGAAAATTTCGTTGCGGCTTTTCAAATACATATCCTGTACATCCAAAAAAATGGAAAATGTCTGAAACATGCGTTCAAAAATTGCAAAAAATGTATACCTATTTTGCGTTGTTGTATGAATGAAACAACAGGCATTTTACTATATGGAAAAAAATTCAAAAATGTCCGAGAAGGACCTGTTTGGTTCTGTAAAATAATCTGTTTAACAATATAGCGCAGCTCTATAAAATCACGAATAAATCGTAAAAACGATTAGTTAAAGTCGAAATCCGCGTATTCTACTATGTAAATCATATTAAATGCAAAACTTTTTGGAACAAGTGGTCGAAACGAACCAAAAATATATATTTTGCTGTTGATGCATATTTGAATAAAAGTCCTTTAACAATATCAAACACAGTGTAACTTTGATGAACTTGATGAAGAATTGGAACTTTATTTTTATTTTGCTAACGCAATATTGTCCCACAATATCACGGTTTGTCTCTATAATATGTTATATTATACGATTAAATGCTTTTGAAAAGTAATTTGCCCAGCTCTGGGTACAGAGTACTTGAACAGAAGATGTTCGATCTTCCATTGCAAAATTTCAAAGAGTTTCTTCCGTGCTTCTGGTACCTGCTTCCGGTGCCTGAACAACCCTTAGTCTTTATGTTTCTTAGACAGTGTTGAGTCACAGATCATTTGTCGTAATTTGTGACGAACTTACCGAAGGGTTGTTGCATCCGCCTTCGGACATGTTAAAATTTATGGACATTTGAAATATCCAGTTTAAACGGTTTAATTTGTTTTTGTACATGAAATAAAACAGGTAGGTATTCTTGGAAAAGTTAAAACTTCAAAAGTACTTTCAAATTATTTGTTAATTCCCAATGCAATTTACAAGAAAATGATAGTGGCTGGTGCTTTTCTATTACTTTCCCTTGACTTGAACGTACGTTCCGACTGGTAAAGTTAGGTATTTTCAAAAAAAATTCCAAAAACTCCAAATGCTCCTAAAATAAAGTTTTGCTATTTAATCACAAAATTGCTGCGAACTCCAGACGAAATAATGAAGAATGGTCACATTGGTCACACAACTACGTAAAATACTCGGGTATACCTATGGAGGAAAATCTCAAGTTTATTAGAAATTAGAAATTATAAGAACAACTGAATATGTGAATAGTAAATAAATCAGTTTCATAGCTATCAGCTGCAAAAATGCGACAGCAATTTACAAATTAATTTAATTAATCTTGTTGAGAGTAAATATGATAAACATGAAGAAAGCGAAAAAAACATACGAAACACAGAACAAACAGCAGCAAGACAAGAAGAGATTGCAATAATCTAAGGCATTCAAATTACAAAAATTACTTAAAGATTTTACGTCAGGAGACCTAATCTAGACAATTCCGATATCCGTCCTTATCGCTTCTAATAGTTTGATGTTTCACTTTCTTCACTATAGATGTTCTTAGCAGAAATCTTCCTTCTTTATACGTTTGATATTTTGAAAATCTTTAGTTAAATCCATTTAAAATTTGTTTAGGTTGTACCTATTCTTCGTGAAAACCGCAATCCACATTTCTTATCTCATTTTCTGATAGGATATTAATGAATTAACGCTTATCTTACTGGAAATCCAAGCAAAGAATCTTTGCAGGTAAAAATTTCACACATTCCACAGATTTTGGTACCAAAAGGGGATGAAAGCGCCAATTGGGGTTGGATTAGGGATGGGAGAAAAACATCGAAGTTTTGCAAACATCGATGTAATTCGTTCGATGTTGGATATTTTTACCATCGATGTTGGAAATTTGGGACATCGATAAAACATCGATGTTAGATCCTGAAATGAAAACACCGGACATTTGATGTTAATACTAGATAGAAACATTTTCTGCGAACTCTTTGAGAGTGCCGATACAAACGATAGCGCGGCATGGCGCCCTATTTCCAGCTACACCCGAAAAAAGCGTGTTTTTGCAGTCAGTTGACCGAAAAATGTGGTAACTATAAGCTGAATAAGTTTAGTCAATTTTTTATTATCATAGTAGTAGTAAAATAAACTTATTTAAGTTTAAATTAATCAATTTGAAATTCGTATGCAATGGCAAACTATCAGAACATTGTTTAACAACTTCGATGGCTACCATCGATGGTATAGATTCGATGTCCTATCCGTAGGTTGAGTGTTTTAAACGGTAGGATTCGTCTATTTATAAAAAATGATTTGTATCATTTAGCAATTGTAATTCGTTTAATTATATGTTTAAAATAGGCTTTTGTAAATAAGAATTTTTTTCTAGGCTAAATGAACAACTGAAGCTAAATAATTATTAAGCGAGCATTGACATTGCCAAAACCTACTTCGAGTACTAATTTCCTACTTATTTTTACTTACTTACTTAAATACAAATGTGTGTTTGGTACACAGTTGACGTGCATGATGGTAATTGCGGTGACAATGATTTATGTAAATAACGGACGATAGTACGTAATAATTGTTTTTCAATTGGAAAATGAAACGTTTCAAGTGCTTCAAGTTATCGGCTTGGCTTGTCTCAGAAAACTATTTGGGGTTTCATCTTCATTACCAGATGATTAAGCAACTGTTTAAATTATGTGTAGATTTTTGCCGCAAAAAGTTGATTGTAACTGTGGAATTATTTTAGGAAATTGTAAAACACTCAATTCAATAAGTTTCTTGTTAAACCTGGAAAATGTATTATTCAAGGCTTTGTTATTTACTTTACTCTGAATGTATGCTTTTAATGTATATTGAAAAAAGTTTTCATTCAAATTAGAGAACAATTATTCCCCAGTTGTTTGCGTCGTTCAAGCTTCAGACTAAAGAAGACATCAAATCTTCGAGTAGTTTTACAATTGGCACAGTGGAACAAATAAACGTAAACGTTTTAAATTGTGCACAATTGAGTACAGATTTTCAGGAAACAACATCAAGTTGAGCAGGCTACTTACATTTGAAACCACGACACCGACCATGAGTGAAAATCACATCAAACTCGTGTACATGAGGATAGTGAGCCGCGTATTGACAAAACCGTAAGACCGGCGGAGGGTTTCTTGCAATGTTCATGTGTAAAATGTTTTTGTGCGGTTCAAATCGTAACATGGCGTACCATACGCAATCCTACCCCTTGACCCCCGACCCCCGCTGCCACTCCGTACGCGTGAATATCGCTCTCTTCCGCCCTTATTGCAGTCCTTCGTCCTTCGCCCTGCTGAAAACAAACCATATCGATTTTGGTTTGGGAGCCTGTGTATACCGATATTCACTTGCAATCTAGTTGCTAGACTTTTCCGTCTACCGGGGTCATTCGAATTCGATTCGCTAAGTTTCACTTTCATCGAATCCGCCTTTGAATCAAACGTTCCTGGTTTGTAGCTCCCCTCAAGTAGTAATAATTATAATAAAGTATATGTTTATTTTTTGCCCTTTGGGCAACTCTAATTTCGTATTTGATTCTGTCCGTTCCCAAAATTAAATTACCTTCTGCTCACCTGTATAAATTTTGGTGTGACGGCAAGGTTCTTGCATCTGGTCAAAAAGTTTTTCCGGTTCTTTTCATTTGCCAGTCTTACCTTCAGTTTCCCATATCTCTTCCTTAAAACAACCTCCTCCACACGATCCACCATGCCATACTCCCAAGCACTCCAAATCAAATTCATTCCTGGGTTTCACTCATTTATTGTCTCTATTTATTAATCAAAATACGTTTCGGTGTATTTTTCCACCATCATCAGTTTTTCTAAAATAGCAGATAGTGAAATTTTTTTTTATTAATTAAAAAAACAACCACAGTTCGTCAACAGCCTCATCATATCACACATTAAAATACATCACAATTGCAATATTTTAAAACAGGCTAATTAGGCCGAACAGGTGATTAGTCAGGACAATCAAATTTGGGAAAAGACTAAAATTCATCGTTCAGATACTTAATTATTTTTACTTACATGTGTAGCGTTGTTGCTGTTTCAAGCCTTGGCATGCATTTGAACATACACCGAAACGTATTTTGATTAATAAATAGAGACAATAAATGACTCAAACCCAGGAATTAATTTGATTTGGAG